GCTGAACCGACACGTGCACGTTCCTGCAGTCAAGAACCTCAGCTGACCAACGTGGGATGCAAAATACGGCTGTACATGGGGAGAGCCAAAAAATCAGCAGTGCAGCAAGTAAGAATAAGCATAACTAAGGATGAAAAGAAAAAAACAGAGTAGACTGTTTTAGTGTAGTAGTGATTTTCATCCAACTTATCTCAAGGCACTGCATGTACAATTTTATTTAAAAATTAGGAGGCAAGCAAATTATAGTCATTTTAAAACAGGGAAGACCAGAAGAAACAGGACTGTGACAGAAGTATTGAAAAGCAGCCACTGAGGTGCTGCGCCTCAAGCTGCACACGCAGGAACTCCTGGAGGCCCCGTTTTTCAGACCAGCGAGTACACGCTTGCAGCAAAGCAGCGAGGGATTCCAGTGCCAAGTATTCACAGGACAACTTGCAGCCCTCAAAGTCTCGGAAGAACATGCATCAGTGATCTGTCTGGCATCTGGATATTATCAGAGACAACCCATCCAGGGCAGACTGTCAGCGACTCAAGAAGAACTGCCTTACGCGACACACCAGCAAGCAGGGGGGCAGTGATCTAAGCAGCCTGATTTTCATTAAGAACCTCAGAACAAAGTAACATTACAGAGAGTTCCCCTCTCTGCCGTGACTCACAGTGCCACAGGCCTGCATTTAGCTGCAAAATGCCCTGCAAAGCATGTGGTTAGTTCACACATACCTAGGCCGGGATAACATCTTCTGTTGGTATCCGGCATGAGACTGAACTAAGTATTTGGTAATTGCTTCCTGTTGAGCTGGTCTGGTGACTGCAGAAGGGCTGCAATCCAGTGTTTCAGACACCAATTCCAGGAAAAGCAGTGGGATAACTCCTCTAGCACCACGGTGTTTAGGACATACTGACTTCAGGAGGCAGATTCAGCTAGCAATTATTGCTGCGCAGGCACGGACAGGCGTGATCACTTTCCAGGACCAGCAGAGAATCCCGTGTATGCCAGTTACGTTCACTTCCTCATGCTTGTTTCTCTCCTCATCCTGGTGTGGCTTTCTCCTTCGCATTAACAGTCCCTGCCCCAAACTGCTTACGCTTACCCGCATAACAGCCAGTGCGATGAAAAGCAACACCATTCTAAACATGAGCCCAATTTGGTGAGCAAAAGATTTTAAGGAGGAGGAAAAAAAATACTGATACAATTAAAATGCAAAGCAGATCCCAAACTAGGCTAGGAGAACCCTGTTACCCACAGGCTTGGGTAAAGCATCAGGTTTCTTGCTTGTGGAACAAGGATGACTGAGGAAGTTGCACTTCTAGTGCTGAAAGGACACGTTCTTCACATTTGTGGAGTTCTGAATGTGGAGTCCTAGAGAGCGCAGTTCTATAGCTTACCCTCTGATCTAGTTAGATATGCTCAACTTTAGGCACAGGGTATACATTGCTGACCCCAGTTAGTTACCTTCAGGGTTTAAGAAACACTCAAAACCTAAATAATGTGCCCGGAGTCCTGCAGAGGACTGTGTAAAAAGAACCGTTTTGAAACAAAGACACAGCCTGAGGGAGGCTGAGACACCAGGAAAAGCAGTGATAAGGGGAGGATAATCCCAAGAGGTCACGTAACCGTACAGCAGAAGAGGCGATGACAGCTTTCTCAAGGAGTGCTGCTACCACTGCAGAGAAGACGTAGCCGCCCTGGCAGCAGCTGGAGGGCAACACCACAGCAGCAGGGTCCCGCAGCCCAGCTCAGCGATGACCGACACCGTCCAAAGCTCTGTGAGCGATCTGCAGAGGGAGCTCCCAGCAGGGTTCTTCACACACCGGACACTGCTGAGCTCAGGCAGCTCAGGCTCTCTCTGCCCTTGTCCGGCCGCTGCAGCAGCCACCCACACACTGCAGGACTTTGGGGAAGAGGGAGGAAACAGAGCGTGCCTGTGCACAAGGCTCCTATGACAAGGTGTCTGCCTGCGCTCGGGCGATACGATGAGGAGAAAGGAGGTTGTGCCTGTGAATTCTTAGCTATGGAAACCTCAAAATCATTGTCTTGGCCAGAAAGACAAATTATTTTTTGCCTAGCTGAGCCAATATAAGCACCACAGCACTGCTGCTGCAAAGCTGTTTCACTGGACTTCATGACTCCTGAGAGTTTGATGCAGCTTTGTGACCAAAACCTTAACTGGGAGCTCCCAAGGTCACACGGCTGAGTCTCCATCCAGACTTTCATTAACGTTCTGTGTCAATATATACCAACGTAACCAGACCTGGCTGGTTAGATAAAGTGCATATAAAGAACCTGAAACAAATGAACCATATTAAAGAGATACAGCTGGCATCAACAGGAGCCAGCAGGACAATGTCCTAACCTACATCTGCACGGAGTGTGGCACAGACCACCACGCCAGACCAGGCATAAAGCAAAGGAAATGTTGTGCTTAGGAACATGGTCTAGTGGTGGACTTAGGGCTGGATCCACAGTTGGACTCAATGATATTAAAGGTCTTTTCCAACCAAGACTATTCTATGAAATGCCCTTCTGCAAAGAGCTCTCAGCAGCAGGAACAACAAAAGCAGTCTAACCCGCTCAGTGTTATCAGATTTTGAAGTAGATGGATATTGAAGCTCCACTTGGATCTAAACCAAATCATTATTTGTTCTGAGTTCTGAGTAACAACCCCAGGCTCAACCCCAGTAGAGACGGTTGCTTTTCAGGGTTTGTTGTTCAGTACAAGTTCAGCATTAAGACCAAGAAGCAAGAGGCTGACATTACAAATGGGCTTGGCAAAGCAATCTCTAGCAGCATACTGAGGAAAGCCAATTAGGAAAAACACCAACTGAAACCAACTCCCTAACAATATTTCATTTTACTTTTCCAGAGAAACAGAAGAAACAGGTGGGAAACACTTTAGATAAGCTTTACCCCCTGCCAACAAATTCCTGCAGGAGGTTTGTATGAGAAATAAATTTTCAAGTTCACAGTATCTGTTCCTCCTGACAGGGTTAGTCAAGGGTGCATGGTACTCACCGCTTGCCTTTTTGTATCCGAGAAACATCCACTGAATCCCTACTGAAAACATCAAACTCATCATTCTGGAAAACATTATAGCGAGAAGTGACCAGAGGAGTAGGGTCTGGCTTCAGCTTCCTGTTAAAAAAAATAGAGAGAATAAAAGTGAGCTGAGGAAGACCAAGCCCTCTCCTTCCCAGGACTCGGTTTACTCTTTGGCAGTCTCCATGTCACCCGCAGCAAGCCCAGATCCCCTTCGTGCTGCTGGCTGCCTGGGTCACAGATTGCTGTTCATTTCAGAGCTGCACTGCAGCATGTGCACAACCACTGCGTGCCATTGGTACAAGAGAAAAGGCACAGGTTTTGGAGCTTATCTTTGTGGAGAAACTAAAGCAACTTACAGAGAGCGGGAAGAAAATTCTTCTGTTCATTTAAGAATAAGTAAAACTGTACGGCAGCATGGACTATTCAACCGACCGCCTGGTCTCACAACAGTGACTCAGTAAAGCCAAACACTAGGTATGATAAATTACATGCTGGAAAAAATGCCAATAATTTGCCGCTGTTGATTTCAGGACATTTATCTCCCTATGGTTCCTTCTTAATTCTTTCTCAGGGTCCCAGGTTCACGTTTGTTCAACTTACAAGCCAAAAGACCATTATTTTTACATCCATTTTGTTGGTGCTATTAGCTCAGCTGGGCATCCGAAGATGCTGCTGTGCTCACTTCTAAAATCAGCAGTGATCAAAATTCTACATTTGCTACTGAACTGACAGTTTTGTTTCAAGATGCAAGAGGCATGGAAAAGAAATCCAGCCCTATCTTCTGTAACTGCTGGCTCTGCAGAACAAAACAACCCTTCCAAAAGCCAACCCCACATTGTTCATGCCAAAGTCAGCAGATCTGACTGTGGGAGCATGAAGACTGTTGCAAAACGAAGATTTTCTTTTTTACACAATTTTTCAGATAAAGATGCTTTCCTTTTTTAACGCAACGAGACGGTCTGCCCATTCCTGCATGAAATTGTGAGCAAACAGCACATTCACATCCTGACACTCAGTCAGAAAGTGCTGTTGCAGCACAAACACATGCTAGCAGCTGGAGAGGAGCTAAAACAGCTCAATTCCACTGCCAGCTATAAACTCTACAACCCACGTACAACCCAGAGGAGCAAGCAAAAGCCTGGCAAGTTTGTCAAAATGGATCTGAATTGCCACTTCCAGTCTCTCTCTGGTTTGACTTCAATCACAAAACAGTAGCCTTTTAAAGGTATTTGACCCTGCAGCTTGAATTTCAGCTGAATTAGTTCCTTTCAAGATGCCCTTTCCTGCAGGACAGCTGGGATTTCAACACCTATAACCCCGTCGTCTGCAGCAAAATACATTCTGAAAGCAACATGTTATATTGCCCAGACCAGGCTAAGCCCACGTCCCCATGACAGAATTTTAACGGTCCTTATTTGAGTGTTGAGTGTACAAGTATTTTTGTCCCCCCATCACAAAACACAACCCAGCACCTGCTCTACTGAAGTGCCGAACAGTGCACGCTCCAGTCCTCTGCAGGGACACAGCGAGTGGCAGATGGCAATCACTGCAGCTATCTACCCCAAGAAAATGCACGTCCAACTTCTTTGGGCTCTACAAGTGTCCAACCCTCAGTGAGAATGATGTTAAATGATAACCCGCAAATGAAAAAGCAGAAGACATCAACGCTGTCCCACACCTGTGCATTGCTCGGTCCAGCTTATCCAAGTATGGCACCAGTTTGTCTTCTAGGATGTTGTTGATGACCTGCTCCGCGTTGTAACTGTACTCCTCCAGGCAGGCCAGGATGAAGCCCTCACCGAGGTCTGGCAGCAGGTCCTTCACTTGAGAGATCAGGGAGTCCAGCTCCACCCCTGACACCTTGGCAATGGGCGCAGCAGCTGCACCGGCACACTGCACGGATCAAAGAGAACTGGTGGCATTACTGGGAAGAGACAGCAGCTGAGGGACGGCAGTGTGCACATTAAAAAAAAGGGAGAGGAGTAGTCTGGTTTATCAGAATTTAAACACAATAAAGTCAAAGACGGAAGTCAAAAGAAGAGAAATCAGCTAAGTTGTTTTATTACACAAGGTTTATGACACAGACTTGGGCATGCAACTGCTTTGTCTGTCCCCCGAGTCAGCAAGGATACTCTGGAGAATCCCTTCCTCAAATAACATGAACTGTGCATTAAAAAAATACACACATCGGAAACCACAGCAACAAGAACTCCAAGCCAACAGGAGTTAGAAGCAATTTGCTCAAAGATAAAGCTGGGATTCAGGTGTAGCTTTGTTTCTCACTTCACAAGGCACATGGGGCTGCACTGAAATCTAGCAAAGGTAAGAAATGCAGTCTCATGTAATCTCCAGCACCGAGCAAACCAATCCTCTCTTCACAGATGAATGAAGTAAGGACAGAAGGAGCAGAACCCAGTCCTATCCACACAGCTATGCATACGCAGCCCCGAGCTCTTCCATATCTTCAGCAGTGCTCTCCACTGTTGCTGATGCTCCATTAGATGCTGCTGCTGGTGTTGCATCTTTAACGACTTGTGCTTTTTTCCTGTCTACCCCTTCCCACGCACTTTCCACTGCTTGCAGGATATAGGCTGTCCTGGTCTCATCTCTAAGAGGACAGCATTAAGGACATTTCAGGATGCACATATTCAGACCTCACCTTGAAGCAACTACGCGATTTTCAGTGACTCCCAAACCTGTGCCTACGTTAACATTCCCCCCTTCCTTATTTAAAGAGAAAACTTTCCATTGCTTACTGCCAGTCACGCAGAGGCAGCATCACTGGAAAAGCCACTGACGTGAAGGAATCTAAGAGCATCCACGTCTGCAAACCCCCAGGGCGACAGCAAAGGATACAGCGTGGAGGATGCTTGCTGAAGCAGGCTGACATCATCCTCAATGGGGAACAGCTCGTCATAATCACGGAGAAATCTGAAAATGCAGAAGCAAGTTTAATCAGTCGAACTCAAGAATAAATTACCAGCAGACCTGTCACACACTACCATGCCTGCTAAGCCACTCTGACTTCCTCGCCGCTCAGGGAGGAACACGTACAACTCTCACCCAATACTGAACTCCAGCGTGAGCTGATACGTCTGATTTTAACCCCATTGTACTGCAGCAACACCTTCCCCCAAGCCATCAGAGCCACCTGCAACACTCCTCATGATAGCAAGACCTGCAACCCAGTGCCGCATTACAGAGAAAATATGGTTTACGACTTGAACCTGATCAGAATGACAGCATCGTCAGGAGGATAAGATTGAATTCCCAGTTCTGCCACTTACTCACTTTGCATCTTCAGCATTAGCACTTAATATCCTCCTGGTCTGGTCACCCCAGCTGACAAGCACAGATCAGTAATAACAGCCTAACGTGTCAAGGTAGCTAATGACTAAATTGCTATCCTCCACTTTGAAAGCCTGGATTAAAGCGTGAAGAATTAACATTCTCCAGCGTCATGCAACATCCTCCTCACCCTTACAATAAAGTCTGTACTGCAGTGTGAAATCCTCTCACAGCAGTTCTCCCAACTAGTTAGAATGATTTCTAACTCCCAAATGCATCGTAACGCCTCCTAATAATGTCTCTGGCAATTCTGTGGTAAAGAATGGAAGAGGAAGGGAAGCTGACCCACCCCTGGGCCTCTTTCAGCCAGACTCACCTCCTTTCCTGAAGCACTGAAGTGAAGATCTGTAGAAATTCCTCAATAAAAGGCTGAATGTTCTCACAGCTGCAGAAAACAATGGCACAACAGAGGGAAAAAAACTCAGTGGTAAGCCTACCGCATTGCACAATCTCCACACTCTGCCTCGCTGGCCAAACACTCATACATCAAGGGAAAATCCCATTTGAAAACAGATTTCAGTCCACTTTTTGGCTTTCACAGGAGCAAAAGCATCAAATAGAAACAAGTTTCTTTTATGGCTCCAGCAAACACTTGAGCCAGCTAGGACTGAAGCTGTATCACAGTTAGAATTACAGGACTCCTGACAGACTTCACAAATCATAGTTTGATGCCTCAGACTTGCAATAAGGGGAAAAGGGTGTGTAGCGCTTTTGTAATTGCACTCTTATTATAGGTCTTGGGATTATAGCAGTGAAGCTCCCAGAAAATATGTGCTCACCTACGTAAGAACGCATGCCAAGCAAAGTCCTACTGCAGCCTCTGTTATAATGCCTAAACCTCCCATTGCTGCTGATGCACCAAGCCTCACAGCGAGACAGAATGCCCTGTGCAGTAGGGAAATGTTAGGAGAAAGGTACTGCCCTAGAAGCCAAACAGGTTGTTTTCACAGCAGCCTCAGCTCTCAACAAACTGGCAGTAAGTGTGTCCTTTACTGCTTCTGAAGGATATACAGTCCTTAATGCTGTGGAATCCAGACACACCACACTCTTTAGCTCCTTTATATTTTCAATATTCCAGCAGGTACTGGAAGGCAATACTCAGGTAAGGAAGGGTAAGGCAATGCTACTATTGCTTCTTTAAGGACTGCACCTATAGCACAGATTGGGTGATTTAGTCCAGGTCACAGAGGAAATCAAGGAGGCAAATCCAGATTTCTCATAAGGAACTCCACCAACAGACCCTCCTCGTCTTCTTGGACAACTCTCCTGATATCAAAAACCAGGGAAAATACTCAAGAACAGGAGCCACAGAGACCAGCAATCTATGAAATCTGTAATGAGCACAGGCAAAGAGAGGCCAGCTCAAGACAGCACTGGCTTCCCAATCAGCATCTAGGTTCTTGGCTCTGTCCCCAGCATAAAGCACGGTTTTGGGTCACTTAATTTCTCTGCTCTTAAATAAGAACAGTTGTATTTGCCTTCATTTTCAGATTACTTACAGAGCTATCCATTAACAATTTTCACAGTAGCAACAGGGGTAGAACTTGGTAAAGGCACAAGTATCTAGGTTTAAACGACTGCTTTCAGTCATCTATAAAACTGCATCGCTTTCACTGCGGTGTCTCAGTCAAGGTGTCTACACACAGCATTAGAATTCACAACTCAGCCAAAAAATGAGGTTAGAGAGCTTATTGGACCACAGCCTTATCCCACTTTATTAGGGTCAACACACAGCTCACCACAGCAATTCTGGACCATATAGCTTCACTGGGGATATTCCTGCTATGCAGGACAACAGACTTCTCATCTTAGCCAAAGACTTTGGCTACAACCCCAACACAAATAACACTTTCTGTTAATTTTCTCCAGTAAATCTGAAAACAAGGAAACAACCTCTCCCACAGCAGCAATTAATTAACTGGCTAGTACCACTGAGCCCAAGGGCCAATACCTGCTTTCTAAGATGGGCTGCAGACAGACTTGGTTTATTAGGATGTGAAAAGCTTCTATCATCTTCTTCCTGGAATGTGAAATCCTCCTCCACAGATCAGCAAAAACACTTCAGAGAGAGAAAACGAACACACTGTTGGTGTCAGCACAAGAAATCTGCATCTTTAACACACCTTTACCCTCCAGAGGAGGGATTTCATTAGCAGAGTAATTTCTTTGCTGCAAGGACCAGAGATTAGAGCCATTTCGTACTTATTAAGAAAACAAAATCCATGCTCTAGACAAAGTTTGTCTCAATCACCAATTGTCCCGACTGCTAGACATGTAATATCTCAACCGTACCAGCACAGTTTGCACCTTAAAATGAGACCAATTTATGCATAGAGATATCATTCATGTTTTCACACTTCGTTACAATTTGAATGCACCTCCCATCAAGTTTCTTGTTAGGCAGCAGTGAAAGAAAGCATCAGTCACCTCACTGCCCAGGAAAATCTGGAATTAGAAAAGTTCTTTGAAGCAGCATAAAAAAACCAAGAAGGTAGAAAGACTCTGCAAAGGTGGGCAAAGCACCACGAAGGGAGATTTTAACTAAGCCCTGGGAGACTTTTATTGAGAAGAAAATGCAAGCCTTTGCAGACATTTTCACCTGTTATCCTCATAATGCCGCTTCTTAATTGCAGATTCCAGCTCAGGAATTGCCAGTTCATAAAACGAAGCTAACCTGCAGAAAGAGGCAAAAAAAACCAGTAACTGTCAACTGAGGTTTCAAAAAATCATTTGCTAAAAGACAAATGAAATGGTTAATTTCATTAAATTCTCCTCACTAGCAGTACCCATTGGCATTATTCCATGTTATTTGCTCCCTGAAACACAAGCAAACATGCAAGAGACAGAGAGCAGCACTCTCAGGTATCTTTGAGGACACAGGCAAAGAAATGCATGTGAAAAGCATCATCTGCTGAACAGAACAACCTGCCCAACCAAGAAACATCCCAAACCACAAAATCTGCAGTCTGCGAAGAGCAGATGTATCACAGAACCGTGTAACAGGACTGTTTGATTGGAAAAGACCTTTAAGATCATGAAGTCCAACCATAAACTTTACCAAATCTTCAGCTAAACTATGTCCCTTAGTACCACACCAATGTGTCTTTGAGCCCATCCGAAAACACCCCCCCCACTCCCATATCCTTACGGCCCTGTCTTGCTATATGCCAAATGCTGGATATGAAACAGGATGGGATTTCCAATAAAGTCTTTCTGGTCTTGCTATTCAGCTCTAGGTGGGCATTTAGATGAAGGGATCCAACACGCAGAAGCCTAAGAGGACGCCTCAGCAGGATGGGGCAGGGAGAAAACAAGGGCAGTCTGGTCCAGTTTCACATCTGACTTGCCAGGCAGCCCACACAGACCCTCTCCTCCAGGGACTGAGCTCCGAGAGAAACGCCCTCACAGAGTAACAGCCAGTACTGCTTTCTGAGGAGGGAGACGTTACAAATAATGGTTTACAGCACTTTGCACAAAAGCCAAGCTCGCTGAACTGATCAGCAGAGGCTCCATTAGGAACACTATGTTCATGCCTCGTATTAAGAGCCAAACATGTGAAGTGAGTGTCCTTGAGGCGAATGTAGCAGAAGCTGGTTGATACTTTTAGTCCGGGAGAGAAATTAGTAAGTGCCAGACTGATTCAGACTCACAAAGATTCCAAAAAGATGACACGTAAGTCAGTTTTCCCTCCCCACACTCCCAAGCCCCAGTCACTAGTCCATACTGAGAAGTAATGAAAATGTTGCTGTGGTCCCACTGCACAGAGATCAAGACGATTTTAGCTCATCTTTGACATCAACAGCAGAATTTAAAGCAAAAGGCTTTCCCCCCTCTGAGTAGCCAAGCACGTAAGCAGTGCTGCTTGCCAATCCAGCCAGCCACCAGCAGTCCACCAAGCTGCTCTTCTTTCAATAACCAGCTCGATGACAGTGTCCAAAGAGGACAGAAATCAGAGAGCAGCATTACTCAGTGGTCCATAAACCACTGGCAGCTGTAGGACTTTAGAGGTCTGCAACACGATTGGAAACAAAAGCAAAACAGAAATGTGTGTTTGTTCTCACCAACAAGCAAACAAAATGGGAAATAAGGACAATAAATTAATACTTTTATTGGTCCTACACAAAGGCTGCTACAGCAAGAGTCTACAACATGATCTGGGGGCTTAAAACATGTGAAGGTAGCCGGGTAAGGGCCACTCAAGGACTTGCAGCCTCTGTGGGAACACGCTCTGCTGTCTGGTCCTTCAGCCCAGCCTGACTCATCGCTGCTGTGAGCCTGAGCTGGACAAGAAATTAGCTGTCAGCCCAGCTGTGATAGTGCTGGCTTGTCATTCTCTCCCAGGCATTCATCTTCTGTTAAACCTCAGTAATATTCTCTAGCATGAAACTGAGATGTAACATTGAACAAAAATGTCTATTTTCAGACTGATGGAATATCACTTCAAAATACTTTATACTTCCCTTGCTTTAGGTCCTACAGCAGAAAGCTCTTTTTGTCCACAACTCTTTTCTGC